AGGATCTATAAAGAACTCCTACAATTCAATAATAAAAAGACAAACAAACCAGTTTAAAAAAAAAAAAAAAACCACAAAAGATTTGAACATACACTTCACGAAGGAAGTCAATAAACACATGAAAAAGTGTTCATCATTAGTCATCAGGGAAGTGCAAATTAAAACAAGTTATCACTACATCTCACTAGAAAAGCTAAAATTAAAGACTGACAACATCAAATGTTGACAAAGATGTGGAGCAACCGAACTGTCTCACACTGTTGATAGGAGTGTAAAATGGTACAACCACTTTATAAAAAGGTTCCATAAAACTAAACATAAACCTACTCTATGAGCAAGCAATTCCTCTCCAAAGTATGTACCCAAGAGAACGAAAGGCCTATGTCCAAAAAAAGATTTGTATATGAATATTCATAGAAGCTTTATTCATAATAACCATAAACTGAAAACATCCTAGGGGTTCATCCAAGGGAAAATGGGTAAACTGTAGTAGATTTATACAATGGAATACTACTCAGCAGTAAAAAGGCACGAACCAGTAATGCAAAAGGGATGACCTCAAACATTAAGCGGACTGAAAGAATCCTCACACAAAAGAATACATACCATATGATTCCATTTATGGTATGTTCTTGGTAAGCTCTTGAACAAGCAAAACTAATGTATGGTAAAAAGAAAAATCAGAACAGAAACTACATCTGGGGGTGGGGCAGGACTGACCGGGAAGGAGCATGGAAAGAACTTTCTGCGGTAATGTTTTAAATCCTGATAGGAATTTGGGTTACACACGTCTGCATTTGAAAAATTCATCAAATGGTACACTTAGCCCATTAGCTACTTAACCCCTTAGCTTCTAAATCCTACAAGATGCCCTACTGCCTGCCACTCAAGGCCAAACATCAGAAAAAAGGCAGAACAAGAGTTGGGTCATTCCCTCTCCTCACAACCTCTATACACATCCCACTCCATTCCCTAAGTCACAGGAGAAATCAGAACAAAGTTTCAGGGACTTGCCCAAGTCTTGTGCCATCGGACACAAGGTAGTTTTGAACTGTTCCTCCTCTCACAAACCAAATCTCAGGATAGACTCTGAAATCAGTCATTTACACCCAGTGTAAACTAGTGATTGGCCTCTACTCTCCTAGGGCACTTGCAATTTAGCTTTGATATCTGTGACGAAGGCTGTGCTCAGAGATGTTTCAAGGAGCATGTAGGAAAGGCAAGGGAACAGGTGGGAAGAGCTTCCCATCACCTCCCCTTGGCCAGCAAGACCTGCCTGATCTTCAGTACTCCCCAAAACACACACCAGAGAACTCTTGCCCAACTAACCCAAAGGCAGGACCTGTATGGCCCACACATGTCACTGTGGGATAGAGAAGCCTGTGTGTGAACCAGTCAGCTCCCAGAACACGGCCCCACTTGAACTGAATGTGGCAGAAAGAGGCTGACTCCATTTTTTCCTTGAGTACGTGCAACTCTGAATGAAAGATGCACTAAAATATCCAATCACGTAGAACAAGGTCTGGCACATGAATGAATTCATGAAGCAAGCATTAAAAAAAAAAAAAAATACCATGGGCATTTAGGGCATTTTTATTCAGAGACTACATGGAAGGCCATGCTGGGGGTAAGAAGGTGGGGACAGCTTAGCTATAAATTTCAGGAGAAAGGAACAAATTTGTTTGGCCAAGTGGCCTTCCCTCCTCACCCTGGGAAGCCAGTCCTTGGCCTCCCACTATTAACCTTTCACCTCCCCAGTAGGTGTGGTCTCAGGGTAACAACAGGTTCACCCAAACAAATACAGGTGTCCCCCACCGCCACCTCCTGCAGTGGCTCAGGCCGGTTAGCAGATGTCTCCCTCCAGCTTCCACAGCTCACCCCTTTCATTTGTTAATGTAATTTGTTAATGACAAAAAAAGAAAAAAAAGACCACTCAAGGATCTGAGCACAAGAGTCAGTTCCTGGTTATCAAGTTAAAGATCCAGTGTCCCTCTTTTTAGGGAAATGCCCTCTACCTAATATCTATTGTTCTCATCAGAGGGAAGTCAAAGTAGAGAACCAAAAACCAAAATACCCATTGCAGTCAAGTCAATTCCTACTCATAGTGACCCTGTAACACAGAGTAGAACTGTCCATGGGTTTCTAATGCTGTAATCTTTACAGAAGGAGCCCTGGTGGCGTAATGGTTAAGAGGTTGGCTGCTAACCAAAAGGCTGGCAGTTCTAATCCACCAGCCACTCCTTGGAAACTCTATGGGGGCAGTTCTACTCTTTCCTATAGGGTCACTATGAGTCAGAATCAAAATTTTTACAGAAGCAAATCTCCAGGTCTTTTCTCCCGAGGAACGGCTGGTGGGTTTAGACTGCCAGACCTTTCAGTTAGCAGCTGAGTGCTTAACCATTGAGCCACCAGGGCTCCTTAGAGAAGGTGAAGAGGGACAAAAGAGGTACCAAACAGGCAGGAGAAAACATAAACCACAGTAGGGCCGTAAGCTGTCCACGAGTTCAGGTCTGCACCCAGGACGCCTGTCTGCTTAGCCAGGGTGCTCTGTCCTCATACCCTAGGAGGCTCCATGAGCGAGCGCCAGGTCCAGAAGCCTGGGAGAAGGACCCAGGAAAGCACAGGTGGGTTTATAAAGCTGAGAGCCACGCCTCTTTCTCTCCCTGCATTTTCTGCCTGAGCTGGGCAGCAGCACTCCCTATGCCCAAATACATTCAAGCGGGTGTAAATCAGCCTTTGAAAAAAACCGACAGCAAAGAAACCAACTTGATCCTTTGTTCCCGTTTCTAACACATTGCTCTTTCCCACAAACTAACAGTGAGAATGGAGTGAGAACCTGCAACAGTCCACAGCAGCTCTGCCCTTGCCCTCCTGCAGCCCATTATGGCTTCTGGAAGCCAGTACTGCCGAAGTCAGGAAAGCAAGCCAACTGAAAACTTCCTGTGGGAGACGGCAGCTCCTTCTGTCTTCACCACCCTCTGGGACTCTCCTGAGGCCCAAGAGCTGCCCCGGTGCCTCACCTCTTAATTTGACCCAGAGATCCCAAGTTAGACTAGTATTTAGCAATTCTTTTCACAACAAAAGCTCCCTCCCGCCATGTGAATGCACTGCCAGGCATCCAATAAGATCTTTTCCCATTCCACTCCTCAGAATGTTCTAATGGATAGTTTTGTCCAAATGCCAGCTAAATGTCCAAATTATTCAGACTCCTTTAAAAATGTCAAAATCATTCCTGCCAAGAGACCCAAATCAGGGGTGATATAAAGACCACTGCGTTACACACTCCATAGCATACCGTGCCTGCTGCATCCTGGGGCCATGCCATGAGGCAGTGCCAGTGTTACCCAGCGGGCACCTGGTGGATGTGCTCTCTCCACTGCATCTTTCAGATGGCAGCAAACGGCCAACCCAGAAACCAGCATTGATGACTGCTTCACTGGACCCCACCTAACGGGCGTTATGGCTGCCTCTGGATTAGCACAAGCCCTCTCATATTTCACCCCCAGGTCTAGACCCCCACTCTGTCCCACCCTCTCTCTCCAATGCACTCTATGCTCACCTTTGAAAGGAGGTGGGGGAACCAGGGAATGTAGCCACTAATTCAAACCAGAAAAACAGAGACTGAAAAGGGTTCTGTCTGAAAGACCCCTTCCCCCTGTGGGGATTTTGGTTTGGGTACTTGGCTCAATGCTCTGGGAGCCAGAAACCTATTTTCTTCACTCACTTGTGCAGGTAACAGTAGTAAAGAAACGCGCGTATGTGGCTTTGCAATTAACTCTCTTTTTGCTCTTCAGGAAAGAAAAAGGAAAACAGACAAAAAACGGATCAAATAGGAATGCATGGAGGTGAGTTGAGTCTCACTGACCAGCGCTGGCTGGGATGCACAGACACCATCTCGGAGCAGATGATACACAATTACCAGGTGCCTCTGGCTGCCCTGACCCTGAGGACTGAAACAAATGTTTTTGTTTGTTTGTTTTTATTTGCTACTTCTCCTCAGATGGAAGAGGAGGGTGATTTATGGACTAAGACAAGAGAGGGGATCCTTAACGGGAGTCAAAAGTCAGGACTAGAACAACTGGTGACTTGTCAACAGCACACAGTCAAATGGCCCGTCACAACCCCACATAAGCGCTGGCAGACAGAACCAGGCGGTTACAGAGAGCTGAAACGCCCGCCAGAATTTAGTGGCCGGCATCAGAGACCTCTCACTGAGGCAGTGGTTTCCAAATGAGCTATTTTCCAAACGGGCTCTCTGAAAAGATGGCGAAGGCTGAATCCTCTCTCTCTAGCTGATGGGATGGGAGGTGTCCAGGGCGTCACTTGCCAATTCTTTTTCTCAAGCAGTTAGCGACCCCAAACTTCCCCCTAGGCTCTGATCCGAGACCCCACACACCACCTAATACAGCGGAACATGAAAACCACATTTGTTTGCTCCAAGTCTGTAATTAAAAGGACAAATAAAAGCAGACAGTTAAGAATCGGCGGGTTTTGGCCAGCCCCGGGGTACCCTTCTCAAGAGCTCCGATGCAGCCGGGCTAAGGGCCTCTGTCTCTTGCCCGCAGCTCCTACTTCCCGGACCCAAAGCCTCTTTCTTTTCTCAGAGCATCACTTTGAGTAGAAAGTTCCTTCCGCCAAGAACCTGTGCGCTGAGCAGGCTGAAAGAGTTGCGGAATGGAGGCATCCTGGAGGGGATACATCTTGGAGGTAAAAGAGTAATGAAACGTGTGTATAAGGCTTTGCAATTAACTCTTTTTTCGCTCTTCGAGGAAGAAAAAGGAAAACAAATCTTAGGGGGCTGGGACTTAAGTGTCCAAGCGAGAGGGAATCTCTCCGGGGCGTACCGGGAAGCCAGCCCCTCCTCCTCCAGCCACCCAGCCTGGCCTCCAGCCCGTCTGTGGCGTCCACCCCGTCCCCCGACTGGCTCCCTCGGAGTTGGGCCGGGGACTGGGTCCCGGCAGCTCACGCGGGCGCCCCTCCCCTCCGGGCCCTGCACTCACCCACTGCCCTGATGCGGAAGCCGCGCGGCGGGCGCAGCGCCCGGCGCCGCCAAGCGTCGCGCAACACCTGCAGGCTGGCGGGGGGCGCGTGCACCAGCAGCACCCCGCGCCGCAACCAGCCCTGGAAGGCCAGCCGCGAGGCGGCGCGCGCCAGTCGCGCGTTCCAGAAGCAGCGCGCGTTGGCGCGGCAAAAGGCGCGGAATACCGCGCGCCCGCTGGGCTCCTCCGTGTCCCCAGCCTCGGTCGCCCTCTCCTGCAGCCCCTGCCTGCTCAGCACCAGCGCCAGCGAGCTGGGTGCCAGCTGCACGGGCCGGGCCATGCTGCCGGGGGCAGCCGGGAGCCCACACCCTAGCGCATCGTCGGCGCAGCGGCCGCGCTGCACTGGCGGCTCGGGCGTCGCTTGCCTGGCGGGAGGGATCGGCTTACTGCGCGCGGCGCCGGCTGCCGGGGGAACGGGGCTCCAGGGGGCGGGGCCGACTGTGCTTCCCGGGGCCAGGGGGTTGGGGCGGGACGCGCAGCCACTGCCCTTGCAGCGAGGCGCCCTAAAGGGGTTTCCAAGTGCTGAGTTATCGGCTTCATTCTCCACATCCCAGCCAGGACACTGCCCTGCGCCCCCCGACGACCTTCTGCTTGTCGCTCCCTCTCCTAGTTGCCGGGGGCTCCCCCTCCCGCGACAGGCCCACACTGGGACTTTTCCAGGTCCTTGGGAAGCCCCACAGCCTCCTGGGAGAGCCGAGCCTCTTCCAACTGCGGCGTGAGCGGCAAGGCCAGCGGTCCCCAGAACCAGGAGGACCAGGATCGTCACCGCTGCCCTGGTTTGGGGGACGCTCCCAGTGAGAGAGCCCACAAGGGGCAGGCTCACCCGCCTCAGGAGTCAGGAGACGCAGGTTTGAGCCTCAGTTCTGCTCCTCACATTTTTTACTCCAGTTACTTCCCCTCTCTAGACCTCAGGTTACTCTTCTGTAAAATGAGGAGTTGGGACTCAGTTTAAGGACGCTTTCATCCATGATTTTGGGATTTTAGGATCTGGTCCCACCCCTGGGATATCCCATCCACTTGAGTGGTGAGGAAAGTAAAGGGCTGGAGAGATGCTCTCTGGATTGGCAAGGCATGGTGGTGAAACTGGGGGTATTCTCCCTGGGCGGGAGCTAGGGACACCAAAAAGGCTAAGATACCTTTCTCCCAGGAGCTGTCAGGGGGGTAGGGAGACCGGCTTATGACCTCCTTTCCCAGACTGTGGTCTGGTGCCTGCCAGCAAGGAGGAAACAGAGAGGTTGGAACCCTGATTGGACACTGGGTGAGAACTCCTTGAGAGGAGAACATTTGAGAAGAGAACTTGACAAAAAGGAAAGGAAGGGCATTGTTCTTAGTACTTAAATCAGCATTGTAAGGAAGAGCAGAGGTGCCTGGCAAGACCTGGGGGTCATTTCAGACTTCCCCTTTCCTCATCTCAGCAGTCATCCATAACCACAACTGTAATCATTTGAGATCATCTATACCCTGCCCCTAGTAAGCACGCAATAAATGATAGGTGGTGTTATTAAATAATAATAGCTAACAATTATTAAACACTGTATGCTGGGGACATTAATTTCACAACTCTGTGTTAACTACTGTTATTATCCCTATTTTTCTTTCTTTCTTTTTACTAGATAAGGAAACTGCAGCTAGGTGGGATCAAGAAGTGTTTTCAGGTCACGCAGATAGTAAGAAATAGACAGACAGCCACATCAGGCTTTCTTGAAGTCTTACTTAATTTTCAATTCAAATAAGCGTGCAAACCTGAGACAACCATCTCACATCTCAATTCTGATTCTAAGATGGATGGATGGATAAATACAGCACAGGGCCTGAATGAAAAAAACTCCTATGCCCGTGTCATCTCTACAGGGAGGGTAAGTTCCTTCTCTGAGCTCTCTATCATGACACTCACCTTGCTGAATCAAGGTTGACATTCCTGTGTTCCCCATCCTGGAGGACCCAGACTTTTATCTTGATACCTCTAGCATCTAGTACATAATAATAAGGATGTAGTTTTCCATAATAATAAGGGTGATAACTTCCATTTACTCTTAGCTCACTGTGTGCCTAAAATTGTGCTAAGGGTTTTACACGTGTGATCTAGTTTTATCCTCAGAATAACCCTCTGAAGCGTGTACTATTACTAAGCCCCATCTTCCACAAAAGAAACAAAGGCTTAGAGTGTTTAGGCAGCTTGCCCATGAGGACAAAGCTAGTAGATGGTGAAGCATGGATCCCAGTGTCTTCTTGCCCACACACCTAGCTAGAGGGGAGGGCAGGAGACAATCACCCTGACTCATTAGACCTGTGGCCTGGTGTGAAAAGTCCTGAGCTTGATTCTCTCTCCTAAGAATTTGAACTGGGAAATACACAGAGACAGTCAGGCCCTTATTAGCAGGGTCTATAACTGCACGAGGAGCCCTGGTGGTGTGGTGGTTCAAGAGCTCAGTGGCAGTTGGTTTTGTTTGTTGTTTTGGTAGCTGCAGGGATGCTGTGAGGTAGCATCTGGCAATGAGGTGTCATGTGCTGAAATTATGTTGTTGTTGTTGTTGTTAGGTGCCCTCAAGTCGATTCCGACTCATAGTGACCCCATGTGACAGAGTAGAACTGTCCCATAGAATTTTCTTGGCTGTCATGTTTATGGACGGATGCAGATTGCCAGGTCTTTCTCCCACAGAGCTACTGGGTGGGTTCGAAACACCAACCTTTCAGTTAGTAGCTGAGCACTTAACTGTTGCACCACCAGGGCTCTTTTGTCCTGAAATTATGAGGTAGAAATGGTCTTAAGCAGTGGAACCTTTTATTCAGATTGTGAAATTCGCTTTATCGTTTCACTTAAGCTGGCTCAATTAACAAAGAACGGGTAAAGAATGTAACTCAGAGGAGAAACATTTAAAACAAGAGCCAAATCCTTGTCTACTTTTTTTCCCCAAAGGATCTGCTACCCACCCCCCACCACCACCACCACCAAGTATTCCCAAACTACTCTAAAGTGGAACATGCCTTAAAAGTTAAATAGAAATCTGTAGGTCTCCAACCTGGATGATCCTACATTACACAGGAAAACTAGAGAAACAGGAATTGCTCAAGGCCTTCCATCTTTGTGGTTTCTGTAGAGCCGACACAGAAAAATTTTTAGAAGCTAGATTTGGCATCCGTTTCCACTTAGAGAAGCACATGAGTAGTCAGATCATGTTTGGACTAAGAGCTCTCAAGATAGAGGGAATAATTTTTCTTTTTTTTTTTTTTTTCCCCCGTGGCTTCTGTGTGCCTGAGAAAGGACAAAGTAATTCTAACACAGTACAACAGCACACTATGCAGTCATTAAAAAGAGGGAGACAGAACTTCATGTACTGATGCCAGACAATACCCACGGTCTATTTTAAGTAAAAATAATAAGGTACAGAATAGTTGGTATAGTTTGCTAGACCCATTACTTGTGTTTTAAAAAAAACAAACCAGCACATATATTCGTATGTGACTGGAAAATCTCTGGTTCATAAGAAGCTGGTGATAACTATGGTTACCGCTTGAGAGAGGGGCGAGGGGACAAGATAGAGAGAGGCTTATTTTCACCCTGAATGCTTATTACCATGTGCAAATATTTCCCATTTAAAAAAAAAAGACTCTCAAAAACATGTATCAGGGAATTAGTTCTGGTCATTTTGAGAAATTGTATAACAACTGTTCAATTTACTTCACTTTTCTCTTCTCCTATTTCCAGATGATCCGTTTCTTGCCTGCCTTGTCAGGCCTGAAATTCCTGCCCAGACAACCCCTCCTTAGGAAAGACCATGTCTCCAAAGTCATGGTTAATGGCTCATATAAGTGCCTCTCCCATTATCACATTTTTGCAAGGATTTATTTACTTCATCCAATTTGCTATTGACTTCAAAAGCACAGTGCCCTTTCAAGGGAGAAGACACAGGAATGTCAAGAGCTTTTGGGCCTCAGGACCATTGAGTGAGATTAAGTTGGCTTGTCCTGGAGACGAAGGAATGAGAAACTAATGCCTTTGATTGAATTGAGGGAACAGGACTACTGGGAGGGGATAGGGGTTTAGGGCTCTCTCCACAGGAAATGGAAATGATAATGCCTTGTAGAGATTAGACCCCAAGGCTTCAGCCTTGAGAGCAATAGTGAGAGGGTCTCTGAGGCAACACAGTAACGACCATTGCGGGGACCTCTCTGAGCCAACATAGAGCTGTGAAGCTTTCATTTGGTGGAGGTAGATAGAGGTAAGGGGAGCACCTCTTGACATCAGTATCCAGTGACAGCAGGTGCCTAAGGGAACTATGATGCACACCCCAGGAAAAAGATCAGCTTCTCTTCCTTGTTTACTGGGTATGTGTAAGACTCCAAGATTCTTGGTCAACTCCAGGGAGTGCCTTCCCCCCAACAAATGCCCCCACCATTATAACCAAGATTCCATTTTTAGCCAACTATGGCAAATGGGGCTTGGAGTTAGATTTTATTTGGTTTAAAAAAATCAACCTGAAGGGGAACAAATTTATACTTGCAACATTATAATTGCTTGTCTGAGTTATCTAGTGCTGCTATAACAGAAATACCACAAGTGGATTGCTTTAACAAAGAGAAATTTATTCTCTCACAGTCTAGGAGGCTAGAAGTCCAAATTCAAGGTGCCAGCTCCAGGGGAAGACTTTTTCTCTCTATTGGCTCTGGGGGAAGGTCTTTGTCATCAATCTTCCACTGGTCTAGGAGCTTCTCAGCACAGGTACCCCGGGTCCAAAGGACATGCTTGCTCCAGGCTCTTCTTTCTTGGTGGTAGGAGGTCCCCCTGCTTCTCTGCTTAATTCTCTGTTTCATAACTCAAAAGAGATTGACTCAAGATACAACCTAATCTTGTAGATTAAGTCCTGCCTCTTTAACATAACTTTCTCTAATCCAGCCTCATTAACATCATAAAGGTCGGATTTACAACACATAAGAAAATCACATCAGATGACAAAATGGTAGACAGTCACAAAATACTGGGAATCATGGCCTAGCCAAGTTGACACACATTTTGGGGGGACACAATTCAATCCATAACATTCCACCCTTTGGCCCCCCCAAAATCATGTCCTTGCCACATGTAAAACACATTCACCCAATCATATCATAGCAAAAGTCTTAAATCAACTCTAAGTCCAAAATCTGAAAATTCCTCTTCCTCTGTGAAATCTAGAATACGAGTTGTCTGCTTCCAAAATACAATGGTAGAACAGGTACCAAGTAGACATTTCCATTACAAATTGGAGAAACTGGATGGAAAGAAAGGATAACAGGCACCAA